TTCTTAAAGTTGGCTTTACGTACCGCTGTAGGCATGGGCGTCGGCAGAAGTGTTTGTTAGGGGAGGGGGCATGGGTGTTCGCAGGGGGGGGGGTTTGGGGGGGGGAATGCTTTTTGACCACTAACCCCCTTGAGAGTAAACAAACACAAAATGACGTCATTGAATAGAATATCTATTCACCAACACAAAGTTGACCATAATTTATTTATTGAAATGATATAGTGCTCTATAGTAGGCCTATAATATAATAGCTATTTACGTTTTAGTAGGATATATAGGCCTAGTAGGTTATAGAACAGCGATTCTCAACCTGAGGGTCGCGACCCCTTTGTAGGGTCGAACGACCCTTACGCAGGGGTCGCCTAAGACCATCGGAAAACACATATTTATGAAGTAGCAACGAAAATAATTTTATGGTTGGGGGTCACCACAATATGAGGAACTGCATTAAAGGGGTCGCTGCATTAGGGAGGTTGAGAACCACTGTTGTAGAAGATTATAGCAGCTATATTAGGCTATATGACTGAACAATCGATCGAGTGAACAGGTAAATAGGCTAAATTTTATAAGTTTGAAATTTATTTGGTTATAATAGAATTTTGACAAAATGTCAATGTGACACAATATTTTGATAAAATGTTAGCTAAGTCCAGGGAGGAGAATTTGCCCTCTCCCACTTTCCTCGTGCGTGTGGATGCCCATGAGTGAAGGAAATAATTTTAATGCTAATGATAGATTAAGTAGTAGCTGTCTAATCAAGGGAAGTAGCTAGGATGAGTCAGAGGGAATATGTAGCCTAATCTTTTAATCCATAATAAAATAATTATTTTTGTAGCTTTTAATTACCTGTATCTTTTAAATTATTGCTGGTTTTTTTGGTTGGTGGTTTTTCAGAAAATGTTTGTATTATTGATGATGTAGGCATCGACCATGAATTCTTTCCTCATTAGTTCATTACCCATGCACATTTCACCATTAACAGTCCAAGAAGTAAGCTCTAAGTTTGCCTTGCCCGCCCATAAATGGCAGTTTGAATTGAGCGAACGTCCGACAGCTCATCTGAATATGACGCAGAAAGTTGAGCATCTTCGTCACACCGTCTTGCTGATGAAAGAGAAGCAGGCGGCCGTCCTATTAGATGTAGGTAGCAAACATGAGAAAACTAATATGATGTTGTCAGTGATTTCTTTCTTCATATCTTCAGGGGAAGCACGTAGGCCTAGCTGATTTCTTTTTTGGTGGGGGGGGGGGGAGGGGGGGGGGGGAGTCACCTGAAGTTCTCTATATTTTAAATACTTCCTTTAACTTCTGCGAGAGTAAAATTGAAATAACAATTAAATATTAATTTGATTCCTTGTTGTTCCACAACTTTAAATCTTAGTCAAACTAACAATTAAAATCTCTACGTAAAGGGTAGGGCCTACTTTTACTCTTCCACTTAAAAAAAAAAAAATGTTACAACTTAAGTTTTTGCGTCATTCATTATATGGTATCTAAAATAAATCGTTCATTCAAGTAAATCACATAATTTAGCTTATAACATCAGCAACATTTCAGCCACCAGGGTGGGCAAACACAATGTGCGGTTCACTTTCGCAATTATTATTTTTTGTCTAAAAATCCCCAAATAACGTGTAAAATATAAAACTGAAAAGATCATAACATTTCAAAGAAGACTCCCAGTTAACTATTTTTATAGGACGTAATTGAAAGCTTGCATGCACTGTACTAATTCTCCACCAGCCTCTTGGGACTACGTCAAGTGACCTCGACGAGGCGGCGAGGAGGGTTGAAAATCTGCGAGATGAAAACAGGACGAGACGTTACGCCTACGAGGATACTCATGAATGGCCAAAAGATGGTTCTGTGACATACGATTTTGATGTGAGTTTGTTCTATCGCGTATGATTTTGATGTGAGTTGGTTCTATCACATATGATTTTGATGTGCGTTGGTTCTATCACGTATGATTTTGATGTGTGTTGGTTCTATCACATATGATTTTGATGTGCGTTGATTCTATCACGTATGATTTTGATGTGAGTTGGTTCTATCACATATGATTTTGATATGCATTGGTTCTATCACGTATGATTTTGATGTGCGTTGGTTCTATCACATATGATTTTGATGTGCGTTGGTTCTATCACGTATGATTTTGATGTGAGTTGGTTCTATCACATATGATTTTGATATGCATTGGTTCTATCACGTATGATTTTGATATGCATTGGTTCTATCACGTATGATTTTGATATGCATTGGTTCTATCACGTATGATTTTGATATGCATTGGTTCTATCACATATGATTTTGATATGCATTGGTTCTATCACATATGATTTTGATATGCATTGGTTCTATCACATATGATTTTGATATGCATTGGTTCTATCACGTATGATTTTGATGTGAGTTTGTTCTATCACGTATGATTTTGATGCGAGTTTGTTCTATCATGTATGATTTTGATGTGAGTTTGTTCTATCACATATGATTTTGATGTGTGTTGGTTCTATCAGGTATGATTTTGATGTGAGTTGGTTTGATCACATATGATTTTGATATGCATTGGTTCTATCACATATGATTTTGATATGCATTGGTTCTATCACATATGATTTTGATATGCATTGGTTCTATCACATATGATTTTGATATGCATTGGTTCTATCACATATGATTTTGATATGCATTGGTTCTATCACATAAGATTTTGATATGCATTGGTTCTATCACATATGATTTTGATATGCATTGGTTCTATCACATATGATTTTGATATGCATTGGTTCTATCACATATGATTTTGATATGAATTGGTTCTATCACGTATGATTTTGATGTGAGTTTGTTCTATCACGTATGATTTTGATGCGAGTTTGTTCTATCATGTATGATTTTGATGTGAGTTTGTTCTATCACATATGATTTTGATGTGTGTTGGTTCTATCACATATGATTTTGATGTGAGTTGGTTCGATCACATATGATTTTGATATGCATTGGTTCTATCACGTATGATTTTGATGTGAGTTTGTTCTATCACATATGATTTTGATGTGAGTTTGTTCTATCACATATGATTTTGATGTGTGTTGGTTCTATCACGTATGATTTTGATGTGAGTTGGTTCTATCACGTATGATTTTGATGCGAGTTTGTTCTATCACGTATAATTTTGATGTGCATTGGTTCTATCACGTATGATTTTGATGTGAGTTGGTTCGATCACATATGATTTTGATATGCATTGGTTCTATCACGTATGATTTTGATATGCATTGGTTCTATCACATATGATTTTGATATGCATTGGTTCTATCACATATGATTTTGATATGCATTGGTTCTATCACATATGATTTTGATATGCATTGGTTCTATCACATATGATTTTGATATGCATTGATTCTATCATGTATGATTTTGATGTGAGTTTGTTCTATCACGTATGATTTTGATGTGAGTTGGTTCTATCATGTATTATTTTGATGTGCGTTGGTTCTATAATGTATGATTTTGATGTTAGTTTGTTCTATCCATATGATTTTGATGTGCGTTGGCTCTATCCCGTGTGATTTGATGTGAGCTGGTTCTATCACATATGATTTTGATGTGCTTTGGTTCTATCAGGCATGATTTTGATGAGAGATAAAAATTGTGTATAGAAGAGATAACGCAACGGAAGTCTGCTCGTAACCATTTTTCACTCTCTGAATTCTTTCCCTTACTGATGTGTAGGTAATACACTTTGCATCAATTATTTAGGTACCGGTACTGTACTACAAATCTCTTAATACAGTACCGGTACTACTACTACTACTACTATGAAGCACTCGTTTAACGGAGGAAATAGTAAATGTCTGTGTTCACGTCCCTCTTTAAATTCATTTAAAAAAATTTAAATCCAGGAATTTAGCTAATTTAAAAATGTGTTTTTATTATGTTATTCTATTTAGCTACCACACGTCATGATTAGTTAATATAGAACTAAGTAGTACCCTAAATATTATCATGCGATTCGAAAAGACATTGATAGAGATTTAAAATTTTCCTTTTTAAAATACAGCTATTCTACTTGAAATTATCATTTCTGTTCATGCATTAAAGTTTCCATTCTGTCACTGACAGTGTGTGACAGTGTCAGATTTCAAGACATTGTGAAAATATTAATTACTGGTATTATGAATCTTTCAAATGCAAACATTGTCTATGATTACTGGGTCCTAGGATGGCACGGATAAAGAATTGACATTGTGGGATAAGCTGGGACAGAACTGGCAGGCAGTCTTCATGAGGGTCATCTTCATGGCTTGTGGCCTCTCCTTCCTACTCATCATCTGTTGTTGCTGCTGTCAAATAGCCTGCAAGTTCTGCTGCTACAACTTGAAGGAGAGTTGCCGACCCTGTCCGGGTCTCATGAACATTATCTCATCCTTTTTTGAAGATCCAAGTAAGTATTACCTCCCTTACTGGGACACAGTTGTGTCAATCTCAATGACACATTGGGATGGGACACAGTTGTGTCACTGAACATACCAGGGATGACACAATGGGATGGGACACAGTTGTGTATTTCTTAACAGATTTACAGTAGATTTTCACAGCATTTTTCTAATGAAAGTATTTACATTTTTAGGTTTTAAAAACTTGTACATGGAACATTACAAACATGTTTATTAGTCAGATTACCATTAAACATAATTGCTCAAATCATGTGTATTTAACTCTGTGCCATGTGTACAAATAGCAAACTCAGAGACTTCACAGAAGTCTGAGAAATCCAACATTTATTTACATTTGAAAGATAAGGATGTTGTTTCCGATCCTGCAGTTGACATGATCCACTTATCCCTACAGATATCTTATTTTATCTTCAGTGTACAAGAGGGCCAAGAACCTTGCTGAGCTGATGGGTCTCAAATTGGACTACAAGACTTATATGAAAATAAAAGCTACCCATGACCTGGGGGGCACTGGCTCTTATAACCCTTTAGGTCTCCCGTACATGGAATGAGATGTACGTACAGGATTAACTGCATTAGGTCTCCCATATATGGATTGAGACGTACGTTCAGGATTGACTGCATTAGGTCTCCAATACATGGAATGAGACATGCGTACATGATTAATTGACTTGTTTAGAAGTGTTTCCCTTCATTTGAATCTGATCTAATTATCCATTGTATTAAACCTGACACTGATGGCTTAAACTCCAACCTCTTGAGTTGAATTATTCAAGAAATTGTTTTAAAATAATATGGAAATGTCAAATATTTACTGCCCCATTCAAAGTGGGATATCTTGTTATATTACTTGATAAAATGATACATATTTTATGAACACAGCACATGCAGTGCTCCAATAAATGACCAAACATACGGGGTACTCTGTACGTTATATTTCATACTGATAATAACAGGAGGTTTCTAACACGTGACACACCTAGCGTGTGGCTGGCATCACTGATACATTTAGAAGGGACCCTTGATGAAATGGACAAAAGATGAATTCAACATGTGATAGGTTGCAAAATGAATGATAAGAATATATCAACATGTGTCATTTATTTTCTCAAACAAATTACATGAGAGTAATGGCTTATAAAACCCACCCACACACACACCCAAAAAATTGGCAGAAAGTCATGAAAAAAATCATGTTAACAAAATGGTTATTCCTTTCAGGTCAACATTATATGAATATTACTAGTCCTTATTCCTAGTCTTATATCTTAATGTATCCCATGTTTGTGAAGGCTCGTGGACTCCAAAAGCAAACTGTTTGAGATGCCTTGTAGAGATGCACAACATAATCCGTCATTCAAAACATGATGCAATGACTATTACATTGGCGGATGTGATATTCTTTTTTTGTAACAGAGGTGATGCACACAAAAATGCTGAAAACAAGTGATGTTGGAATAGGAATCATCCTAGGGTAAAGATGAAAAGTGATATCTTCATTGCATTCTTCTCAGATCAAGGCATTTTTTAGATACAATTTTATTCTCTGCAATGAGATTAAAATGAACTATTGATGCATTGCAATGAGCAAGTCAAGATTAAGGTCAGCCTGTTGATTTAAGCTAAGACAAATAACTGTGAAGAAAGTTGACTGATAAAAAAGAGATTTGGTCTGTGACAGGTTATCCTTAAAAAATTAATCCTTTATGCAGACCATCTAAACTACAAATAATATTTGTGACAACGAATCCTTTTACAAATGTATAATAATAAATATCTATAGAAACTTTAATGCATGTGGAAGGCTTTTATTCTCTTTAACTACCGGTACTTTAAATGCTAGATAAATAACTGTTGTACAGCAATATAGTTTCCACATACAAACCCACTAGCTAATTCAATAAAGAATTATATTTTGTATCAGCAACTTTCTTTGATTGTTAAGTCATCGAAGAGATATAAAAACACACACAGTTCCTAAACTGTTCACATTTTAAAACACCAGTCTGCCATTGCAATTCAACAGTTCAATCCTTCACATTAATTTTAAAAAATTACATTTAAAGATTAATGTTGAAATACCTCATTTACAATTTCTAATGCTCTCCCTTGTATTCTATGGGAATGAGAGAAAAAAAGAATGGGAAATCCTGGGAAGAAGAGCAACCTTTCAGACACTTCAGATACTACACTTCAGCTAAGTGTTATTTTTATTGAAATCTGTTTTTACTGATGTTTGTTCACTGAACACATTTGGTCTGTTGTTTTATTGCATTATTTTTTTCCTGTTTTCCCATACTTTGTTTCGCTCATTTCCATTTTTCTAACTTTGTAGTCTCTCCCACTTATTAACTTTGTATTCCACACATCCTGTTCTTAACAGTAGTAAATAATATTCTTTCTAAAAATAGTGTAACCTAAATTCTGTTCATGATGGAAGCATCTGATAAAGGACAATTTAAGTATCCGGAGCTTTTGGTACAGATATCACAATGCAAGACTGTACATAGGAGCTACAATGCAGACAATCGTCAATGGCAGGGGATGTTGATACTCTCACTCTTATCTGATGTCACCTCATGACAGGTGATGTGAAGGTCCCCTTCCCTGTGGACAAAAGTTCTAATCAGTTGACATTTACTATTATTAAAATTAAAGTGGTCTTCTATAGCGCTATACTCCAGCCTGGGGCTAGCCTCACATGAACATTAGCAAAATGAAAAAAAACAGAAGTGTGACATAAACAGCTGTGTAAAAATATTGACCTCGCCCACCCAAGTACTACTGACCCCTGTCTAGCCACGAATGGCACCCAGCACCATCGAGCATTATTTATCAGTCAGAGTGGGGGTGAGAATGAGTTGGAATAGTAGACTTTAAAGCAATGTGTCTTGAGTGTATTGTTTAAAGTCTTTAAAAAAATTAAATTTCCTGTATTCAAATGTCATTGTTTGCTAGGGTTTTCATTGAATTTTGAAAGAGTTTTTTTTATACTAGTTGTATGTTTGATACTAGTTGTGTACATTTACAATTAAATAGTGACCAACGATAATCGAAAGGGATACACTATAAAATACACTATAGGAGATAAGAGCAGGAAAGGATTCAGGTGAACATTAATAAGTTTTTGAATGCTAAAAATAAAATATTTATTTAATTAAAAAAAGATACGTAAGTTTGTCTTCTGAGTTTAACAATCTATTATTACTGTTGTTATATTGACAGGTATATTTTTATGGCTCAAGTTACAGATTTTTGGTTCAGTCCCATGTTTCCCCACCAAGAAAATTCATGAAGGGGAAAGAGCCCAGATGAACTAAAAATTAAAAACTTATATTATATTATGGTGCCAATTGCCCACAACCACAGATTAATTTAACTTTAATCACATGACATGTATGATTAAGAAAGTAAGACAATAAAATATGTACAAATATTAATAGAAAACAAGAAAAACTTTACCGCTTCAAATGGAAGTTAGATTTTATGGAGGATCCCGGAGGTAAGTCTCGCATGACCAACTGTAAACAGAGTAAGAAATCAAAATTTAAAAAAAAAAATGTTTAAAAAAAACCAAAAAAAAAACCAGACAAGAATATCGATAAATCCTCATTGGCTCATTGATTCTATCATATGACAATGATGTAATGATGTTGTAAATATAAAATTAAAGCTAGTAAAAAAAAACCAACCAAAAACTTTAATAACTACAAGACATTCAATTCCTATAAAGAGCACCCAAGATAGATAAGTTTTAACAATTAAGCTGTTCTCAAATTGTCGTTTTAAAAATAATATTCTGCCACTGCACAACAAACCTTGGCCAAAAGCTGCGATGTTTCCAAAGAAGCTGGTTCATCACCCTGATAAATTTCCAGTAAAACAGCAGTCTGATGTGCGTCAAGGGTCAAAGTATGTTGTCTGCGACACGGCACCAGACTGTGCTGAGGAATAACAACTTCCAACTCCTCTGAACTGCTCTGTAATCATATTAAATTTGACGGAGGTGACTTTAGCTCAACTTTAAAAATCTGGGTTGACCACTCAGAGATTAGTAAACATATTAACACAAAGCAGTTTTCAAAACGAAACAGAAGTAAAAATGTTGAAAATTAAACACAAATAATTGAGAGGACTTAATCGCACTGCATCCTTACCCGAATAGATATACATTTTGGCAAAATTTTGAAATTTATACTGGAAGTGTCATTTCCAATTCTCACATTGTCAGCATCATTGCCCCCCACAAGTAGAGCAGCCTGATAGAGAACAAGTCAGAACATTATGATCATATATACCATGCAGGGAATGTCATCTTACACTATTTTGTCGAAATTAAATGTTTTGTTTTATACTACAATAGAAACTCGATTGCTCAAGTGTATTTGATTGAGTGCTCATATAGTCTACACTCAAGGAACATACCTCTTTAGCTGCTCCAATGGCAATAATTTCATCTTCAGGCACTGAGTTGAGGAAAGTAGATGACGGAAGATAGTCTCGTATAACCTTTTTGACCAAGGGTGGCTTTGCACCCCCACCACAGATAATTACCTGAAAGAACACATTTTTAAAGATAAATACCAAGATAATTAGAACCCTTTATAATTCGTATATTAACTTAATATGCTTTTCATGCAAACTTTCACAACCCAAAACTTAGCTCAGGAACAATTCTACACTATTGTGTTGTGTGATAAATAGTCAATTAGTTACCTTAGCAATTTCCTCCTTAGGACATCCTGCCTTGAACAAAGCCTGCTCTATTAGACTGGTGCACTTTGTTATTGAAGGCATACAGAGACTGTCGAACCTGGCCCTAAAATTATGTGGAGAAGGAAAAATATATAAATGAAACAGATATGAAATTACTCATTTACTTGGCTCAGAAAAGCCTATTGGGGATTAATTTTGATTAAAAAAGAAGAAAAAAGCTTGAGACTTTTGATATTTTAATTTAGAGGCAGAGCTAATAAAACTGTAGCGCCATCAACAGACCTGCTCATATTGTAGTGGAAGTCACATCCCTCAAACAATGAATCTACAGCACACTGAGCTGTTATCATGGTGGTCAATGAATGTTTACAACGTTCAGCAGCTAGGCCTAGTTTGCTCACTGATCTTTTATTATCTGACATATTGCATCGGAATTGCCTGTTGGGGAATATGGACAGCTTATTTATTACCAAAACTATTTTTTTTACTTAAGAAATTTAATAAAATTTTAAATAATTATTGTTGTTATAAAAATAACAGTTATTTGCACCATATTATAATGATAAGAATTATTTATTTTATTATGTCTTATGTTCCTCTCATTCTAGTTTTTAATAAATCTACCTGTTAAATTCTGAAGTTAAAAATTGTTGTAAAACTTCAGTAAATTTGTCACCACCAAACTGGTAGTCAGCAACTTCAGCAACAATCCTGTACATCCCTTGTTCAACATCAAATACTACAGCTTCATGGGAAGTGCCCCCAAGGCGATACACAAGAGCTTTGCTGAATGATGGGAAATTGAAAGAGAAGAAGGAAAATCAGACAAGACCCCAAGCGAACAGTATAAATAGTATCAATAATGAAGTTGATAGGATTTTTAAAGCTGTCAGGTACTTTAAATAGTATTCAGTTACATATCACATGACATAATGCTGAATCATTTTAGTTCAACAGTTATAGAGCAAGTTTGACCCCTATATTAATAGAAGGAAGAAAGATAAATAAAACTTACAAATGTTCCGTCTGATCAAGCTGACCTACATCAAAAGCTAACATCGCTGCAGATGGTTCATTGATGACTCGAAGAATGTTGAAGCCGGCTCGTTTGGCAGCCTCGCTACAAATTTGGATTTTTTAAGATTAGAGAGTCAGTTTGAAAAATTGCTTTTCAAACTTTTGTAAAGAAAATTATCTCTAATAAATGATGGAGAAATATGAGATGTGACCTAGCTTTTTTTTTACAAAATAATGATAAAAAATTGTTTTGTTTTTTTATTATTAATCATGGTATTTAAAGAGCTAAATTTCCCTTTTTATTGTATGACAGAAATAATCTTAACAGTCTATTTCTGTTGTCCAAAGCCAATTTTAAGACCCATAAAACAGTAAATAGGACGGTCTACAAAGGTAAAAAAAATAAATATAAAGAAGCAATACTGAACAGAGGTCACTTCATATTTTACAAAAAATATTTTTAACATTCTAGCAGTTGGATAAAATGGCCTGCAAAATTCAAATAGCAAGGGCTCAAAGAAAAAAAAAAAAAAGGAAGTAGATACTCATAAGTCGAATAATCTTAAATGACTTGAAGTATCTTTTGCAACTATGGCTTGTTACAATCTTTTGATATTTTTATCAGTTGACCCTATGATTTGAATAAACTTCTGATTCATTTTAACCCTTACAGTACTCTTTGCAGTGACGTGCTTTTTCCCAAGCACTTCTTTTTTTCACCAGCCAATTTTTTCCCCTTAGCCCAAGCGCGCCTTTTTGCCACATAAGGGGGTATCTAATACAAACACAAAAACGAGGATATAATCTTTCACCTTAGTCTCGGGCAGAATGTTTATTCCTTAGGGGAATAGCCGAATTTTATTTTGCCTTTAAATAATGAAAATTAACCAATTACTGAGTTTTTTTGTGCTGATCTGTATTTGTTGTTTCCATGGAACTACCTAGCGCTATTGTTGATGACGACTTATGCCCCCCCTTGGTGAAACATTTTGTTCTGAAACTTATTATTGAGCATTAATTGGAATTAGATGATTCTGATGAGGGAGAGGGGGCTGAATTTTTTTTAATGAAATAGGTCAACTATAGCTCAAAATTTATGCCTACGGAGCCTGTAGGTTTGACAGGTTTTAGACTAGTGCCAACGTAGATATTGATTTAGTAAGATTTACTGGGCACTGTGCTAGCCACACAATCTCCTAACGTGACAATGCCAATGAAAAGTTTGAACAAAACACATTAGTACTTGTAACACCCTAATCCATTTCTGAACAGAGAATTCTCTACATGTTATTATCAATTGTTTAAAACAAAAACGTTACAAAATAATTTGCAAACCTATAAAATTTTAGCTCATTCCAAAATAATGTCTAGGCAACAGGGAATAATTAGCAAAATAATAGCAGGTACTGAGGCTATACATAGCAAAAATTAGGTCGGTACCAGAAGTGTTAACAGTCCTGTTCATGTAAGCCAGGCACATAATTTTAGTTTTATTATTTAGTGTTAGACTCAACAAATCCCAGTTCTTTCAAACAATTTTTTAAATTCGAGTACCTGTACTTTACAAAATGTATACAAATATTTATTAGTGCATATGGAAATATGTTAGGATCTGATTTAAAGAATACATTTAAATTGCTCAAAATTTTGTATTTTATATTTAAGAGACTATAAAATATATTAAAACAAACTGGCAGTGGTTTAATGGCTTTGACAGTTAAAATAAATGGGCACCTGACAATATTTCTTTGCTTCATGTCAAAATCTGGGGGTACTGCTAATACAGCATCCTGAATACCACTTCCGCCATGGCTTTGTGCAGTTTCTAGAAAGAGACATGAAAAATTATATCAAGTTAAATGAATTTTAGCAGGTAATCCAACTTTTTGTCTTAATGTTAAGAAAATCATTAGTGGAGAAAAGTGGCTATGAATTTTTAAAAATACTTTAAAGTATTATGTCTGAAATAAAGTGTACTAACGGAAAGATTATCAGGTTGAGCAATGTAAGCTACACGGTTATTAAACTATAAATGTGTTCAATTATCAAGCCTATTACACCATAAACCATGATACATTTAAACAATGATATTGTTGCTTAAAAACAGTAAGAGCAATATACCCAATAACTTCTTGTAAATGAGTTCCATAATTTGACTGGGACTGTATCTGATTGTCTTGCCCTTTTGTTCAACTTCAAACAATGGCATTCCTGTATCTTTTACCACCTAAGACAGAGAAAACAAAAATTAGAATCAGCCATTTTTTAATCAATTGTCTACAAAATCAAATTAGATTTGTGTCAGTCCTGCCTGCCTCTCTACAAAGTGGAATCAGAATTGAATTAGATAGGATTGACGCCCCCCCCCCCCCCGACAGCTATTTTTCTGGGCAGGAGGTAAGACCTGAGTGGGTAACCATTTGCCATAGTCATATAACATTGTCTTTGTATAGGTGTATTTGTTTAGGAATGTGAACAAATGTTTTTTTTTTTAAAATTGTATTATTATTCTGGGAGTCAGCCAAGTCTGACTGGTGACTGCAAACTAGAATAATATTAATTTCAGTGAGACAGATGATGAATTGAAACACTGAGATATTAAATGAAATTAAAAAATTGTCATGTCTACAAAAAAATATCTGTAATCAAGCCAGTTACTTTACAGCTACCCGCATACACCAAACATGTTAATGAACAAATATGTAAAAATCGTGAAAATGTGGAGTTAAGTAGGTAAAATTTCAACTAACATGAACACTTGAGGTATCAATATATTCCTTGACTTGGGGGTCATCAATGGAGCATCCAACAAGGCGCTTGACATGACAAACTGTGTTTGTTGCATTACGAATTATTTCTTGCTTAGCAGCTGCTCCAACACACTGAAAATAGTGAACATTGTTTTCAAAAAAATAAATTAGATATCATAATTAAATAGATTAGTAAAACTTACTACTATGGTGTAAAATCAAGGTTTATCAAAATTTTTGCTGAAGAAAATTTATTTCCAAAAAAACGTATATCATTTGTTATGTTGTTATAGTGCTATATTACTTACTATTTCATTATCTGTAAATGCAACAACAGCTGGGGTAACACGGTCTCCAAGGTCATTTGCAATAACATTAGTCTTCCCATCCTGAAAAACAAAGTTAAACAAACTCAATCATCAATTGATTTGATTTGTCTCCCTGAAGTTAGTAATTAAATAGGAGCTCTACTACAATACATCACATGACGAAGCGGTTTTTAAACAACAGTGGCGTCAGTGGGCTTATTTTTTTATTATTTCTTTTCTTACTTTAAAAATTTTTTTGGGATACTCTAAAACAGAGCTCCACAACCGGTGTGCCGCAGCACAACTGTCTGCCGTGAAACGATTGCAAGGTGTGCCACAGCAAATTTACTAATGTACCTGAAACTATAAGTAAAATATGTCACTTTTTCTTTGATCACATACTATTCAAGCAAAATTTCCTAGAATTTCTAATGAGGCTATAGGCTATACTATAGGAAGTTCTAGTACATTTTTCAACCACTAAGAACTTGGGAATAGTTCACATATTGTGACATATTATTATAAAATTGTGTTAAATTGGTGGCAAGGTCGGGAGCAATGTTATATCAATATGACAATTCGTTTAATTTATTTTTTAAATCAATTCTTATTTTTGCAAAATTTCCATTTTTCAATTTATGAAATCAGCATAGTTAGATAGTTTATTGAAAATTATTTTTTCTTCTTAAAATAATTTAAATAATTAGCACATTTTTTTTACAATTCACACCTTCCAAGCGGAACAACTGGATTTTTTCTTGGCCGACGCTCAAGAGGTAGATTACCGTTGTTTAAATAGCCCTTCAAACAGGACCAGCTGGATTTTTTCTTGGCCGACGCTCAAGTGGTAGATTACCTAGACCTAGTTTATATATGTCTAAAATAAATATTTTACTTTTTATAATTTTTTTTAGCAATGTGAGTGCCGAGTTTGTAGAAAGTGCTCCGTCTTTGTGGCACAGACAGCCCGAAAAGGCTCCGTCTCCAAAGGGTTAAATATATTAGGTCCCCTGCAGCCGCAGAAGTTGCAGGGCCTACGCGACAGCTCTTCCCTAAGGCCTAAGCATAAACAAACAAAAAATAATAGAAGTTTGAATAGCACCTGCAGCTTCACATACATTTGTAGTAGAAACTGAGCCTTCCGTTTCATAATGTAATTAACGAGAAGCAATATTTTCTGAAAGGGTAGACTCGTTTCTCATTCAATATTTTTGCGAATAGCTAATTAATTTCTTACCCTATAGACTGCTAAGCAAGCTGAACACGTGCCCAGATGTAAACCGAAAGCTGCCATTTTGACGCTTTCTCATAACGACATACTTCCAGATTTAATTTCTATTCCTATAATTGTCAACAGCTTAACACATTATACATTACTATTAAATCATTTTCTTGTATCTGTTAATGTGAAATGTTTTATTTTATATCGCTGAAAATTAATTGAAGAGTCATAAAATTTAATTCATCTAAAATATAGCAAAATATATGTTTCTTCTCTGGCTTTAAAGTACTGCTGATCCTGAACACCGCAATTTTCGTCTATTCATACTATTTCCGCCCCTGCTTCCGTGTGCATTTGAGCCTATAAGTAAACATGAAGGGACAACTGTTTTTCTTTGTTGCTATTATTGTTTGCATTTGTGCATATTTGTACAATCCTAAATTTGCAAGGGATTTAGTAAAGAAAGTGTTTACCATCAGTCATTATCATGAAGAAGCACCGAATACTAATCAATACAAAATATTCACGAAAGATGAATTGGCCACATTTAAAGGAGAAAATAATGGTAAAGTTTATTTAGGAATCGTTGGTCATGTATTTGATGTAACAAAAGGAAGAAAACATTATGGACCAGGTGGTGGTTATGAATTTTTTGCTGGCGTTGATGCTTCGAAAGCATATGTTACTGGGAATTTCGATAAAGAAGGATTAACAGATGATATTTCTGATTTGAAACCATCTGAAATTCTAGCACTCCAGAACTGGAAATCCTTTTATGAAAAAGACTATAAATTAGTGGGAAAAGTCGAGGGAGCTTTTTTTGATAAAATTGGCAGAGCACTCCCATTGATGGAACTGTACAAAAAACAGCTTAAGAAAGCATTGCTTGAGAAGGATTTAATTGAAAATGATAAACAGTTGTTTCCTCCCTGTAATTCTGAATGGAGCCAAGCCAATGGAGGCAGAATATGGTGCACAACACGCAGTGGTGGTATAGTTAGGGATTGGATTGGTGTGCCAAGAATGTATTACTCAGCAGGAAGCCCACAGCCAAGATGTGCCTGTGTCAGAACAACAGGCCCACCTTCTCATGATCTAAGAAGCACAAATCACAAAGACAGGGGTGATTTAGATAATCCTAATTTAAGCTTGTATCCAAACTGTGATGATATGTCTGAGTCATGTCCGCTACCAGAAAGGAGTTAGTTTATTTTATTTTCATAAGTCATTATGTGTCTTAGCGTGATAGCATCTGATTTATCACTGTTTTTCACGCACAGTTAAGTTTTTTATTAGTCATATGAACTCCTCATACAGGATCTTCATCGCCAGCCTTTCCTTATAATTATAAGCTAACAGGTTTTTCAAATAAAATGTCAATAAGAGGTTAAAACTCAACACCCACTACTCTTAGTCTTAATAAATACTATATAATATGCCTTAAAAAATGTTTCATATAAAATATTATACCCATTTTAGTGTGGTAATTAAATAATTTATGATTGTTGAATTTATTTTAAAGCCATCAGCATCTAAAAAATTATTCAACATTCATCCATTGAGTTGACTTTGGAATATTTCAGTTATATTCAGTTTTAAGAATATACTATTATGCTAATACTTCAGTAAGCAACTCATAATTTGAATCTTTCACTTGCATGCATTTATATTTTGATTATTGTGAAGGTTTTTTTTATCGTAAATTATTTATAACTTTTAAATTTGCCTGTAGTTAAAAAATTCAACAGCTTAGGGAATTCATGTCAAATGTACCATGCATGTAAAAGTTGCATTTTATGCTAATAATGTTCTCTGTCTTACTTTCACTTTTTAGTTCTTTTTTTTTACCTCCCTCCTCTATGATTTAAAAAAAAATAAATTGATGCTGTATCAAAACTGTAGATTCATCCCAAATAATTTTAAATGACTATATATATGCCATGATTATGTTAATAAATCAATTTATGTGTCCACTCCCTAATTATTTTACCCCTAACATAAGGAGCCATTCTGATTATTATGCAAGAATAAAAAAGGTTATATTTTTATAACCCTTCGTCCTGTTGCAACCGTACATATTTGGAACCCCTCCCCAATCGAAACTCCACTCCTCCCCCGACAAAGATATCATACAAACCAATTAAATGTCACCATAAACCATATTAAATGTTTTCAACCCATCTTTGCCACCTTCAGCAGAACTAATCAATTATGTCACCAATTACACCCCATCATGGAAAGATACAGTTGTCATCAATGTTCCCTTTAAGCTGCGTGGCCGCGCAGCAATCTTACAGACGCCGCCCAGCAGTTTTGAGAATCCGCGCAGCAAATTTCCCTGTAAGTTTGTGTTTGTGAGCTGTAAAATTTTGCAAACAACAAAATTGATGCTGTAAAACTTTGCACACAACTGTATGATTTAACACATGAACCAGCAAACCTTAGAGGGAACGTTGGTTGTCATTAGATTTAATGTTACTGTTGGGTATATTTAAATATTTCATTCATGATAGTTATGAAACATTGTAGTGATATTTTTAGACCCTTTTACAATTGGTTATATTAATTAGATAATTAGGTTATTTATTCAGAATTTCAGAATATTTGATGCAAAATTTGTGCATAAATTTATGTAAACATTCTGCCAAGACCCCTTCCCATTCATACCTGTATGCAAAATCTTTTTCATCAATTACCTTACCCCTCAGTGTGAAGATAAAATAGATTGCTTCTAACTAGTTGAGAAATGCTATGGCTATTATTATTACTTTTTAATTTAATAGCTCTTACCAGGTATATCAAATTTGACAATTTTCTTTCATCGCTTTGGAAGATTCATCACCTTCTTTAAAGAACAACAGCTAAGCATCAATAGAATAGCATTGTGCTCCTTATATAAGCGCTGACCATCCATAATGCCATAAATGATGTTGTAGTATTGTGGCCAATTTCTTTTACCCCCCTTTCGCCAATGTTACAAAAGTTAGACACCCTCATCACCCATTGTCACAAAATCTGAAGTCATTCATGAATGGCCCTAAAAAATAAGTTAGAAATTCTAATAGAATGCCCTGTCATAATTTTAAAATTGGATTGTTTTAGCAATGGTGCAAGTCTTGAATGTACAAGGGAAATGTAATAATTTTATAATTTATGGGAGAAGAAACTTTAGCAGCACTGATGCTATGGACAGTACTGGTAGTAAAATAATAGGAGCATACATAAATGAAGTGCTAGGGTTATCTACCCTTGTCATATTTAAAATACTTATTATGATTTTACAGTCATTTTCAAGCAGCTATTGATGGTTTTGATAACACCAAAATATGTAAATATTCTATTGAAATTGAAATGTTGCTTTTCAATAAATTTACAAAATATGTGTATTTTAATGTAAATTGATTTTGAGTATTATCAATACTGTTTCACGTAAATCTGTTATGATTTAATTCATTTTGTTTAATGACATTTTTAAAGAAAACGTGAACCATTACTGGAGAACAATTTCAACTAATTAAACAAAAGTTTTAATTACTGAACTGGCCCTTGTCAAAAACAAATTCAACCACACATATACAGTTAGTTATCTGGTTCAGGGCTATCTTGGCACCAAACACATTGCGAGGTACCCTTACAGTACTGGGTACTGGTAATAACATCCATAAATTTAAAAAAAAAGTTCCTAAGCCCTATCTTGTTTGAATAAAGTTGATTGTCATAATATGCATTGCATGCCAATAGTTCATTTCTGTGTTCACTCACCATAAATCACATGTATTTTTAATTTATTTAAAAATGTTTCCTATTTTTATTACTTTATTTTATGATCATGAATAATTATTTTAACTGAATCACAAATATCAATAAAATGTGTGAAGCCTTATTGATCTTGTTAATTGTTCAAAAGATACAAATCTGGTCTTGTTCTGTATGGTATTTATTTATAATTATACGTTTATAAAATTTACGTCTCTTTTTGTATATAAACAAAAACAGAGTTGATTGATAGTATTTTTTATCCATGTATATTTGCATTAATGGAATTAGGAAATAATTTAATTGGCTGCTTTCTAAAGGATATTATTTAAAAAATACCTTGAATTTAAAAATTTCAATACCAGGACAATTTATTTTTAATATGATTTAAAAACAATCCTCTACAACTGGGATGCAAATAACAAAAAAAATTTGAACAATTTTGTTACATTCATTTAAAACAGAATTCATTCATTGTTAATGACAACAACAAAAAAAAAAAAAAAAAAAAAAAAAACAAATAAAAAAAAAAATTTGAACAATTTTGTTACATTCATTTAAAACAGAATTCATTCATTGTTAATGACAACAACAACAAAAAAAAAAAAAAAAAAAGAAGTTTATTAACTGGTGAACTACCATACACCACTTGGAGCGCCGAAGTTCTTCTTTAGTTATGGCCACGAGCCCCTGGCAGCACCATTGTTTGAGTCGTTGAAAACCTAGTCAAATATTTATAATATTCCATTCCCATTTTGGTTCGAGATTTAATTTACCAACAGCATGTTTATTTTTAAACCCCATGTTATCTAAGTGAAAGCCTTTACAATTGTTTAAAAGTTATATGTTCATGATGTGATCAGTAGATTTCTTCTGATACACTAGTTGTCCATGCCATATCACAGCACCAACGAGTTCATGGTGACTTCCCATCTGATAGATCAAATGCTCCCAGCTGTGAGAATAATTTTTAAAAAAATATATATATATATATATTTTGGTTGATTTGTCCATCCAATGTAATAGTGTTTCTGCCAGATAAAAATAAATCTCTGACTTCTTCTCTTGTTCAAAATAAATATTATTTTATTGAAATACATGTATTAGTGTTTCCTGGACTAGGTACATTATCACTCATTAAGCACACACAAAAGCATAACCATAATAAACTTAATCCTCCTGGACATTAGGTTCGTACCGGAATAGAGAGGTTTAATATCTCTGCAACCCACCAAAAATATCTACTCCTCCATTCATTTTATCACAGTTCTTACTAGCTGTAACAATATAAAACTACTGGTACCTTTGAAATCAGGTATTCTCATCCTGTAGTTTGCCAAGAGCTTCATGAGAATTTAAATGTAGGCCTACACTGTAAAAATTGTACTGTAAGTACTGTTAAGTAATGCTTTTTTTCCCCATAAGTTTTTTAAATTGCCATTGACTCTATCTAGCAGAGTATTATTGGGGGCTTTTTTTTGTGGAGGTTGGAGTTGGAGGGTTTGCTTAATCAAGGAGTATTCAACAATCTCATGTCTGTGACACGTATTTAAATATGATATTCACCCAAGTCTGTGACACGTATTTAAATATGACATTCACCCACCCATGTCTATGACACATATTTACACATGACATTCACCTATGGCTGTGAATAATATTTACAAATAACATTTACCCATGGCTGTGACTTATATTTACACACGACATTCACCCATGGCTTTGACTCATTTTTACACATGACATTCACCCATGGCTTTGACTCATTTTTACACATGACATTCACCCATGGTTGTGACTCATATTTGCACATAAAATTCACCCATGTGTGACTGATATTTACACATGACATTCACTCCATGGCTGTGACACATTAACACATGTCTGTGATTCATGTTTACACATGGCATTCACCTATGGCTGTGAATCATATTTACACATGACATTTGCCCATGTCTGTGACACATATTTGCACATGGCATTCAGCCATGGCTGTGATTCATATTTACACATGGCATTCACCCATGTCTATGACACATATTTACACTGGGCATTCACCCATGTCAATGACACCTAATTTACACATGCCATTCACGCATGGCTGCGACTCATATTTACACATGGCATTCAACCAGGGCTCTGACACATATTTACACACGACATTCACCCCATGCCAGTGACACATATTGACGCATAACATTCACCTGGGTGCTTCCACAAGGATCAAGTTGCCAACTTTTCCAAGCTCAATTGACCCGTGGCTGTGCGACCTGCCCAGGGCATGGGCAGCATTAAGTGTAGCAGCAGCAAGTGCTTCAGGCATTGACATCTTAAGCGTCACACAAGCCAGGTTCATGACAAGAGGCTGTTAGAGTTTCAAAAACCTTCTTTATAAAATAAAGCCATTACTTTTTTCCAATGAAGTTCATTTCGTTAATAATCTTTCAGGCTTTTTTCTTTTTTTTTTTTTTTTTTCTTTAAAAATTTTTTAAAGGAAAAAAAAATTAGAGTTTCAAAAACCTTCTTTATAAAATAAAGCCATTACTTTTTTCCAATGAAGTTCATTTCGTTAATAATCTTTCAGGCTTTTTTCTTTTTTTTTTTTTTTTGCATTAAAAATATTTTAAAGGAAAAAAAAGCAAGTCATTAACATTTAGAGATACAAGTTTGATGAGAATGTCACTGTCAATACCGGTTTTAGTTTGGCTACTTTCATATTCATTAATTTTTTTAAATTTTATAATTTATTTTTTTTTAAAATTCAGTGAAGCAACTTT